GATTCAATCATTGCACCTAGTTTATAATTATAAAATACTGGATAGGTATGTGTAATAACAATGGATTTTATACGTGTAATTTTGTTGTTATTTATCCCTTTGTAAAATGTCTTTTTATTTTTTGTATTATTATTATTATTATTACTATTACTATTCATCTCTGTATTCTTTCACCAGCTCAGCTCTGCTGTAGAATATATATATATATATATATATATATATATATATATATATATATATATATATATATATATATATATATATATATATAATCCTGCGAATTTCAGAAGAAATTATCGACACCAGTTATGCACATACCGTAGTATATTTTAGAGATTTAATCGCACCCCACCACCAGTTCCATTTTCAAAATATATATATTTTATTACACATATTTAAAAATAAGCAAACGCTTGATATAGCTGCATTTGGTACATTTTAGAAAGCGTCACTTATAATTATTCTAACTGAACCTGAGCAGCAATTTTTCAATTACCACAGACCTTAAAACCCACCTCTCCTTGCCTCGGGACGAAACCCAAAAAGACAATAACAAATCTTTCGTCATAAAAAATAGGTTCAAATGCTGAGGGACAAAACGAAATCTGGTCAAACATTACTCTGAAGTCGTGAAGAAATTTCTTTTTGTAATAATTGGTTTCTATTCACCATAACTGTGTAATCAAAATTCATTTCCATAACCTTACATTGGCATTGCTAGTTTTAAAAAATGCAAAGGAATTTAATCGCAACGAGGAAAAAGCAAACTTAATGTATTCATAATATGAGACAGACGCATGCCCATGCCGAGTTCAAGACCAATGCCAGAGTATCTCACCCAGGACGAAGATTTTGGAGCACGTGTACACTTCTTAACGTAGTTTAGGGCCCGTTCCTAATGAAACCAGCGTTCGACGAAAATGGATCCCACTCTTCGTAGAAAAATACTCAATAAAGTGCATAACATCGTCCCAGCCTCTTCTTAGGACAAACCGTGGAGCGTGGTTCACTTCTGAGTAGGGGAGACCGGGGCTAGTTGGACCCTGGGGTAAGTTGCCCCCCTCCCCCATCAATTTATGACAAAGTAACTATGGGGTAAAAGCATTGATCACATCATTTTTTAAAGTGGCCCTATCCAATAGTGCTAGGAAAGCGTAGGGAGTGAGTCCAAACGAAATAATTTAGCATCTTAATTTAACTTTATTAAAGAGACTTGATGAGGGGCCAACTTTCCCCGGGGTCCAACTAGCCCCGGCCTCTCCTACGACGGAACACCTCGAGGTGCAGATGACAACATGCATTAATTAACCTCACAGTGCTAAGTGCAGATCTGAGTAGCTGCTTCACTTTGCCTTATCCCCAAAGAGTGAGACAATAATATTCTGATGACTCTACGTTTTAAATAACGTACGTCAAAGTAATGAGAAGATCGTGCCATTTACAGAAGAACAGCCAATCATTTTTGACGCAAGATTTTAGCTAGTAAGTTAAGTAAAAACTAATAAACGCACACGTACACGTAAGTTCACAAAAATAAAACGTTAAAATCACATCACCTTATCAATACATACAACCCCGTAAAAATCTCTCGTAGCTGTCACCACGCTGCCCGTGGAAACCAGTCAATAGAAGAAAGCCTCATTAGAATTATACATATAAAGATAACCACCATAAGACGAACGTCGGCATATATTTATTGTGTTAATGCATCAATTTCAAGTTGCCCTCAGTTATACCGTAAAATATTAAACTCAATTATACTATGTTCCACATAAATCTTCATACAAAAATGCATATGCAGATACGAAAGTACCAGCACTACATGAACATATGTTGAGAGAAAGCTTAACCACAATTTTAGAAAAAATGTATCATCAACCATTATCAATATATTTCAGTCTTGGTTATGGAAACAACCATAAATAATAAAAGAAGTAAAGAACATAAATCACAGATTCAGCTTCCAGTAAAAGAAGGCAGACTTATTCTAAAGGTGAAATAAATACCCTGGCTCTACAAGTACGCCAGACCACTCTATTATCATAAATGAAATATGTATATATTATAACCTTAATAATACATTTCTATTCTTATGGATATGGCCTTAGTAGTGACATATGGTCTGTAAGCTATCAATCATACGGTGCACAATATCCTGTGTCAATTACAAACACTGTTCACAGTATGGGGCTACAGTGCTCAAACCTCCAGGGTCAACAATGTCTGGTTTGCACGTTCATATTTCTTATCGCCGTGGTCGTATATTCGACGATAGTGTTAATGATGGATGGAAATATCTTGATCTATAAAACAACGTATTCTAAAATCGGGGTCAAGGTACCAGAAGAGCCGGTACAACCAGGACAGGACTCAAGCTTTGGAACTTCTCAAAGATTCCACGGAATAAACAAGAATATAAGTTTGATTGAAAAGGTCAATTATATTCGAGAAACGCTTTGGCCACGGCTTAACATCGTCTATATTAACGCAAGCGACGCCGTTTTTAATAATGATACACACGTCTGTGAAAAGGATGGGAGACCGTTTATCTTCATGTATTGGAATGGGTCTGCAATGCCCGCTTACACTGAGCTGTGTGTCTTGTCGACTTTGTGCCATAACTATGAAGACTTTCAATTATATATGTTAAACGCAACAGAGTTTCAGAAAAGCGTTCCCTACGTCCATACGGCTTTTAAGTCGCTCACCACCAATCATCAATCCGATTATTACCGTGCCGCCATGCTGAATCAATATGGCGGCATATACATGGACGTTGACACCCTCAGCTTTGGCAGTATGAAAACCAAGTTAAACATGCTGTCGGATTACGATTTCATTTTCGGCGGGGATGATTACTGGTTTATTTTCATCACTCCTCTAGGTCCTATCCGCGCACATACTCTCCTGACTACAACTTGGATGCAGGAACTGTTTGAATTGTTCAACCGGCCTAAAAATCGGGAATTTCTGGAAAAGGGACGCGATGAACTTTCCTGGGACGCTTTGACGACCCATAGTTTCAAACGCCTCCTGCACGAGTATATCGATCATAAGAACATATCTACGTTCAGGTTTGATATCTCTAAGACTTGGGGTCAATTTAGTGTGGACGACTTAATGTCTCAGCGTGGCTTAGTGCCCAGGTATAAGGAAACGGACGTGTTGACTTTAAACAATGCTCTATACCCCAAAGAATACAAGAATCTGAACACCTCCCAAGTGCTCCAGAGCCAGAGAGGATTATCACAGTTACTCCGGCTATCTTTAAATTCTTGCTGGACAAAACTGATATCCAAAGACATCGATGTCATTGCAACTTAAAGTCATAATAACTCTTCGTTTTGGCCAAAAATTGGATTTTCCTGAAAAAAAGGCAATTTTCCCGTACTTACCAATGGTCAACGACCCCATTCCTGCATTCAAAGTTAATCCAGGGTTTTTTTCCTAAACGTACGGAGCTCTCTCTGACATTGCAAAGTCACTGGTGACCTACTTAAAACCGCGGGGAAAGCAGACAACAACAACACTATATAAGATTCATGAGATATATTCATCTTTTTGTTAAAAATGCATTTATATCCACAATATGTGCCATTCTGGGCTTTTCGTTATCCGACGCACTGTACAAAAACTTGCAACTTACGTCTGCGTCCGCATTAATGCGTTTGGCGCCATGTTATTTTGGTCTCGAATGAACGCGAGAATCCGCGTGACACCATTACGTCATTAGCAACGAATGCCTTGATGACTGGGAAAAAAAGCATCGAAAGCCCCATTGACAAGCACAGATTTTAGTTTTACTACAATAACGGCCGTTTTAGTGGTAAAACACAATAGAATATATTTCCATGTGTTGTTTACAATGTATTTCACGCGGAATTTTGAATCTCAAAGGAAAAGTTATTATTGCTTTAATATTAGGATTTTGTCCCTTAGATCAACATTTACGTTGATGGTTGTATTATAAATGTATGGATGTATGGATGCGTCCTACAATCCACATATCCATTAGAAAAAAGATCCATCGGTTTGCAAACCATAATAAAAATGGTTTCACAAAAGATTTTACAGTTACTTAAAAGTCGTCATATTCTTTTTAATAAGTCGTCTACAGCTGTATTGTTGACATATCATTGTTTTAAACCCCAGAAAGAGTTCCTAAATATTAATCTGGCATCAGAAACAATTACCCTCAAACGATAAAGCTCACATGGAACTGTTTAGCGATGCAGAAATCATTGGTCACTGCAGGGCGGTAAGATACCAGCACCAGCAGACTAAAAGGGCTGTTTATAGCTCTGTAATCAACGCAATGTCACTATAGATTGCAATCAGTAAATACCAGTCGTTTGCATTCTCACCTACACCTTCTGTATCACCCTCCGTACCTGCAACCAGCATTTAAATTCTGAACTTCATCAAATTAGGGTGATTCGCCAATATGGCCAATACTTCTATTTTCCATACAAACATCACTTGGAAGTGAATTCTTTTTGCATGGATACATACAGTATTTAACCAAGATATTGTTATTATGCAGTATAATCTTAGTGATTACCTTTCTCTGCGTTTTGAGGTACTTGTGTGTGTACTGGTACACGTGGTAAAAAGGTACTCTACGGACTTTCCATGACGAATGTAAATTTCATTATTTCAAATAGCACGAATCACCTCTAGTCCCTACACTTGGATTTGATGTATTGTACCATTTAAGTGAGATATCTTAGAGCTAAATATCAATGAGATACATGTATAGTATATATTAATGAGTAGTGATCCTTATACATGTACGTTTGCATGCCAAAATCTATGGCAGATATGATTCTTACTTACGACCATCAAAACTTTTTTGGCAAAAAAAAAGACAAAATCAAATAAAATATAAATATTATATTTAGAAAAAAATAAACTTTTTCCAGACGAGTTGAAAAAGTAAACCAACCCAACAAAATTTTCACATTGTTAATCCGAGATAGAAAAAGAACAAACACCAAAACTATCATATAGATAATATATTATTTAATCTGCACATTAGAAAGGAAAGGCATAACCGCGATACACATATATAAAACAAACACTTTGGTAGTATGAAAATTTTAAGCATGGCCACGCCTCTGCAGTACTGTTTGTGCGAGATTATTGCCGGATGACATCACTGACTAGTAGCCGTGACGTCATTGGAGTTGGCCCCAGATTTTATCCAGGTTCCATGCAGCACATATTTATGCATGTCATGGAATATAAGTCCTCTCTTGAAATGCCTGACACAGCATAGTGGCGATAACAATTAACGCACTGTTCTATATCTTGGAAATATTATTTTGCCATGAAGTATATATCTAATCATTATATAATGCAATTAAAGGAGAAGAGCTGATAACTTCACTGTATTAGTGGGGTACATTTTATGTTGTGTGAACCTTCCAAAAATTTCGCTGTGCAGGACAAAGATAATACAATGTACAATAAAGAAGAAGTCATTCAATTCTACTTTCAGTAATGCTAAGCTGAAAACCTCGGCGCTGCCACTAGGCCATGGGCGTGGTCTGTGCATTGACGCATGCGCAGATCACTTGCATGGTACATTGTTAGTTTTGTGGATCCTCCCAACCATGTTCTGAGCCAGATCGGGCCAGGCTTTCAGTAAATGATCGTCATTAATGTCCTGCGTACAGTCTTTGATTTTATTCCAAACCTTCATGCCGTGCAGGACTCCACTGAACGTATCTGTGGGAGAAAACGTCTCCAAACCGTTGATCTTTTGGCCGAGGACAAAACGCCCGCCAGCAGGGATTGGTTTACCCGAGGACAGTCCCGTGCCAGTTCTATGAAGCTTGCCGTTATTGTAAATTTCCCAGTTGCCTGGAAGTGGAAAACGGGATGTTTCATTAAGCTTACCTAGCTCTAGCTCTCTTCAACATGATGTTAAGAAGCGCGTAGATACTTGCGTGTAAACTGACAATGTTTTCTCAAGTCTAAATCTCCAACTGAACATTTGATGTAAATTCAATACCAAAGATACAAATACTGCACAAAACATGTATCAAAAGAGTGTGCATGAATTTATGACATAGATTGTACATGTCTGATATCTGCATTAAAGTTGAAATTCACACTTAACACTCACCAGCATTTGACGTCCACGTCAGGCAAATCTTATGCCAGGCGCCGTCCGCCGCGTTCATTCCTGTCGGGGCCGCGTCATCATTCACCATCAACATGAAGTTATTTTGACCAAATATTGTAAAGTGGTCATTTCTCTGGTCACCGTAGGAGACCGGGGTGCCGTAGTTGGCCAGAACTTCGTTGCTGTCGTCTGATTTCATCCAGAATTGGAGCGTGATTTCCGACATGGCGGGCACTGCAGGCCTGGGATCCACGAAGACGTAGTCGTTTTCTGTGGCGCTTGTGAAGTCAATGTTGAAGCAGGGAGTTTCGCCTGTATAAACAACCGCACCATGGTCAGATTTTTGTGTCTTTATATTTCAGTGGAAAGGTAGTTACTAACCCCTCTGTTATTTATCGTTTGCCATATTCATTTTATCCGTGGCACGATGAAACACTGTGTGTTCTTGTGCCCAAACTAACAAACGCGAGGGATTTTTGACCCATTAACAAGTGGTTTTCATTTGAGTATATGCGTATTAGTAAATGTATCCTTTTGAAACAATCTGTTAAGAATGTGTGCGTTCTACTTATCAAAATAACCTTTTAATCAATAAAAGACAATTAAGCACTGAGGACGATTGAAGACAGAGTGCAGTCGAAACTCTCTACGCTGGGATAATTTTAACATTTTTGTTAATTTTTTTGGGGTGGAGTGGATAACCTTTCAAATAAATAAAGGTTAAATGCAATTTCACCCACCTACAGATATTTTGGTAAAATGTAAAAAAATTAAAGCGCGTCTACTGTTTAAAGAAACAAACCATCACTTACGTCGTTCACAATTTTTCCCAGAATAGTAATGTGGGCATGCGCAGTAATAATCATTGACGTCATCAATGCACGTGCCTCTAACGCAGGGTGAGCCCGCACACTCGTTGATATTAATTTCACAGTTGATGCCAGTAAATCCTGGTACACAACTGCACGTGTGTGAGTTTATCCCGTCAACACACGTACCTGTAATGTGCAATATAATATTTAAAAAAAACTGATATTTTTCCTGCTGGTGCTTTCTATGAATTAAAAACGAACAAACGAAAAAAAATGCATGATAAATATCAAATACATTTTTTTATATTTCATTATTCATTGTATTTCTATAGCTAAGGTACAGTATGGTGCGATAAGAATGGTTTCACTTAAGAAGACTTGAAATTAGTCGGTAATATTTTGCTAATTATCACTGTATAAATAGTTGAAATTCTTAACATTACTATCTAAGAGATGATAATTTCATATAGTTACAGTAAGATGGCATGGGTATTTATCGCAGAAAATACAACCATTACAATGTTAAACTAAAAAACTTTGGAAGATCTACGTTTTTTTTTTTTTTTTTTTTTTTTTTGCTAAATAGCTTTTATAACCAAAAACCTACCTCCGTTATCACATGCAATATGTTTACAGTCATCGATATTCTGCCCACAGTTAGGTCCGCTAAATCCTGGCGGGCACGAGCACGTGTAGGAATTCACTCCATCTGTACAGATGCCGCCATTTTCACACGGCCCGCTAGCGCATTCGTCGTCGTCCGTCTGGCAGCGTTTCCCAGAATACCCCGGGGGACATGCGCAGTTGAAATCATTGACTCCGTCAGTGCACGTGGCGCCATTTTGGCATGGGTTTTGTGCACATTCGTCGATGTTTATAGAGCAGTCAGGACCAGTGTAACCAGGAACGCATGAGCAAGAATAGCTGTAAAAAGGAGGGATGAGGCTTAAAATAAACTTATTATTATTTTTGTTATGTTTAAAAGAGTTTTTTTTGTGATAAAACAACAATGTTATCACGATATGAATGTATATTATCACAGTAGTAGTAATATTGAAAATCACAAAACGTCAGTTCCCAAAATAGCAGACCCCTCCGTCCCTTAATACTGAGTGTATAAAAGCTATATCTGTAACCGGATTATTTGTTTGTAATGAATACCCCACCACCCTCCCTCTCTCTCTCTCCCTCTCTTTCTCTCTCTCACTCACGCACGCACACACACAAAGACAGGCAAACAGTCGTCTACGTCAACTACACGCCGTCACCTACCTGTTGATTCTGTCGTGGCAGGTGGCTCCATTCTGGCAAGGAACGCTCTCGCAGTCGTCAATATTTGCCTCACAGTTCTTCCCAGTGAAACCAGCCGGGCAGTCGCAGCGGTAATCGTCAAACAGGTCATGACACTGGGCCCCGTTAAGGCACGGGCGGGTCGAACATTCGTTAAAGTCTGGAATTGAACTTAGGCATTGGAAAGAAGAACCCTTGGTTTTGTTTTAGAACTGAATTGGTTTAGTTTCAGAACAGGTGGAGCCATAGAGCTATGTGTGCGTAGAAGGAGCACAGGCATCCAAACTATCGATTGTATAAAATCCCCCTTTTCGTTTAACTTTTTTTTCCTATCCTAGGCTATATATTATGTCGTGTGTGCATGTGTGTGTGTGTGTGTGTGTGTGTGTGTGTGTGTGTGTGTGTGTGTTTGAGAGAGAGAGAGAGTGAAAGAGAGAGAGAACAATTTACCTATACACATATTCGACGAAGTGCTGCCTTTCCCTCTGGTGACCAATCCCGAGGAACACTGGGTACATTTCGTGCTTCCAGTTTGACTTGTATAGGTGTTCTTCTCACAAGGCTGACACGGCTGCAGGCCCGTACCTGACCAATAACCAGGCGGACACGTGGCTGTAAAAGACAAACAGTATGACGTCATGTGAGAAAGTGGCGTAAAGTATGACGTAACATGACGAAATCACTTAATATTGTCAGTAACCTGTATTCGGCAATATACTGGTTCGTGAATATGCTTGTATATTTACATGTTTTTAGAATATACATGTATACGATATTACAAGTATAATGAAGTATATAAATACTACCGTAATGACATATTTTAAAAAAGCAGTTAAGGCATCGTTTTGACGTATCCTACTGTACGTGCACACACGTGTACAACGTGCATTGTAACGTTGGTTTACCTTTGCATTTGTTAACACTCTCGGCGCCTTTAAACACGGTAAAAGTTCCCGATGGGCATGGAATGCACGACGTCTGTTTTGCCTTGTCCTGGTACTGATTGACCGGGCACGGACTGCAGGCATCAGGTTCATCTACACCATTGGGAGAAAACGTCCCGGGCTGACAAATATCTGCAACAGTTCAAAATATGATGTTAGTATTTCTTCTGTGTTTTTTTTTTTCTTTCCTTTCACTGACACTCTTTATTATGATTTTTTTTGTTGTTGTTGTTGTTGTTGTTGTTTTTCTTTATCGCCGACTTATGGAAGTTGATTTTATTCTTTTTCTCTCTTTCAGTTTGTATTTATACTAATTGTATTAAATCTAATTTTACATTCCTCTAAACGTACCTGAGCAATTATCCCTAGAAAACGATCCTTCTTTTAAAGCTAGGGTGCCGGCAGGGCATCTCTTGCACTGGAGCGCTCTCTCCTGGTCAGAATAATAACCAGCAGGGCACTTTGTGCACTTACCGCTCTCACTGTTATAAAAGTACCCCTTAGTGCAAACAACTGAAAAATAGTAATATGAACATATAACCAGATTCTTGAGTAAACTACTACAAGTCAAATTACAAAAAAAAAAATAATAAAATACAAAATATTATATTACTGAGCTGAGGTTAAAACATGATAATGGAATGTAACAAGTTGTTTGTACAAATTACGCACCAATAGGTCACAACGAGAACGCGTAATGGTAAAGGGGAGTCCATAAAACGTGTGTCTGTCTGACTTCCAGTCGAAAAGTAGACTTAAGTTTTTTAAAATAAGGTTCATACGTACCGCATGTAATTTCACTGCCTTTCATTCTTGTTTCTTCTCCTCTTGCGCAACCTATACCTTCGTCCTTCTCTTCAATCGTAGCTACTCCGAGCTGAGAAACGAACTGAGATTTCAGATTTTTCAGGAGCTCGCTCAGGTCGTCAAGTTCTCTCCTGCGCCTCCCAACAGGGGTCGGCTGCGTGCCCTGAACCGCCGTGGTATTGATGGCCCCACAGATGACTCTGAAGTCGTCTTTCGTCACGTTGCAATTACACGCCTGACCGAAACTGCTGCTTCTGAAGATTTGAGCAGCGTTTTCCTTGATCTGATCCTGGGTGCTGGCTTCAGGGCAGCTGCCCTCATAGTAGTGAAGGTCGAAGAGAAGCCTCCTCGCGGGGTCCTGGAATTCTGTAATATTGTTTTTTTTTTAAATTATATATCGAATTTTGCAATCGGTCGTTTGTTTTGAAGATCATTTTGCTTCTACTTCCTTCATTTTGCAGGGTTGCTTTTATTTTCGTTAGCTGGATAATTTGTGACGTTTGTCTTCGACTCCCTTTTCCATTTATTTACTTATTTATCTATTAAATTATTAATTAATTAATTAATTTATTTATTTATTTATTTATTTATTTATTTATTTATTGTGCACTTACTGGTGCAGTCTGCCATGGCCATTTGGGGCGAGGGATACCATTGCCCAGACCCTCCACAAACAAACTGTTGTGCTACAAAAAACTGGCCGGGCTGCAAGTTAAACTCATACGGGTTTTGGCAAAATGGAAAACACACAAAACCAAAGAAAATGGTGTCGCATGAGAGAGCTCCGTTAATTGGGGGGTTCAACTCCGGACATGGATGAGCTGAAAACAAAGAAAAAACCGTTAATGACCACGTATCCGTGTGAAAAATGCATGAGTTTTTTTTCTGTCAGGCAAACATAAATGTTTATAAGTGAATAAGTGTTAAATATCATTTGTACAACACAATGTTATAATTCCTCAGTTTACTGAGCCGATTTCCTATTTATTTCTATTCAATCGGCACACAGTTAACTATATGCAAGCACTTAGCTTTCAGTTCCTACTTCTCCGTCCCGATAAAGATCTTTTGGGTATTTAGTCTTCAAAATGAGGTCTAATTTGAATGGTGACTGTTTTAAACTTACGTCTAACTGTCAGCTTGAACTTGCATATTCCTTTGTTCCCACTCGGGTCCGTGGCCTCGTAGATAATGTTGTATCTTCCGTACCTAAACTTCCCAGGAGTCATGTTCGGCTGACCATGAATTATCTTTGTTTTGTCGCTGTTATCTGTAAGAAAAATAAGAAGTAAATCAACTTTGTGTTTTTATAACTGTCTCAATTTAGAAAAATTAGTTTTGTTAAGTCACTGTCTTAAGGAATCGTTTCATTACTAGTACTTTGCATCATAAATTATTAACTTTCGTGAGATCAGTTTTGAATCTTGGGCTGTATTCCCAGAGCTTTTAGATCGATCTATCCCCGCGGGGAGTCTCACTACATTACTGTCAGAAAATCCGGCTTAAATGTCCGTCCCGCCTACTACAAGCTGTAAGGGGGTAATTTACTTTCGTGTCCGCCCGGCTGACAGCTATTTAGCGTGAACCCCCAGAGAGTTAGGTCGATCTAAAGTAGATCGATCTAATCTCTGGAAATGGGGTCTTAGTCAATATCTTCACCCTTCCAGTGAGTCATTCCACGTACTTTCCCCGAGTTCTTTCAATGTTTCATCTCATTAACCCTGCACACGTATGTGAACTAAATGTCATTGCAAAAATTCCAAACAAGGCCTATATGACGTCTTATATAAAATTGGCCCGAAATCATTTAGGGTCTTATACAGCTGTAGGCCATGTGCTTCTTACAGGACAACCGATGGAGTTCCTATGGAGTCTTCATAGTCTAAAAGGCTTCGTTTTGAGTACTGTGGGTTTCCTTAGAATCCTACGTACAGAACGCCTAATACATGTAAATTTTTTTCTATAAGAGTAACAATACACACCAACGATCAAAAGGAATTAAGAAACGAAAAGAAACAGGAAATGCCACATTACCTCTGAAGGTCGGTTCCTCCCAGGTGACGTCCGTTTCCAACAGCTTGGATTCTATATTAATTGTATCTGGACAGTTGACAACCTTTGGAGGCTGCGTGTCTGCAAAACAACGACAGGGTGTTTTAAGTAAATATTGCCTCTTTTTTCATATAATCATGTTTCATGCCAGTTGACGTTACATGTACGCTCCCTCTCGAGAACAGTGTAACCAGCGACTGAACAACAGCATTGTGTACACAACGGATTAGGGCCGTTGGCTTGTTAGATTTGCCATGTTTCTACTCTCAGTACATACACATTACTAATAATAATAATAATAATAATAATAATAATAATAACAACAATAATAAAAACTAGAAAAATACTCAGAAAGCGCAACCTCTGCCAAAACAAATGAATGATTAATTAATTAATAACCAAAATATAAGAATTTCTTCTTTTGTCCATTTTTGATCTATCCTGTAAATGTCATGGAAATTACCCCTTTGTGAGCTATCCTAAAAATCAAATCATTAATCAATGGATAATCACCTTTTACTATCACTTTAAATGTACAGACTCGCTGATTTTCTTTAGCATCCTTGAAGGTATAAGTCACTCTGGTCTCTCCGATTTTGAAAGGGTACGAGTTTTGGGCGGTGATCTTTGCACTGCCGACTGCTATCTCGACCGAAGGATCCTCTCCCGAATTGTCGGTCGCTCGGGGTGGGTCATTGATCAGAGACACGATGGCCTGGTCGCTGTCGGGGTCTGCGTCTGTCTCCCTGTGGCTGGGGCAGTATGTGACGGTGGGTGGCTGAGTGTCTGGTAAAACAGGTGAAATTTCATTGTATTTGCGATGACTACTTATTTATTTTTATTTATTTATTTATAGTTTATAAACTACTGTTGAATTTTCCATTTGGTGAAATACTGCTGGATAGCAGTAATGATAATAATACTGTGGCAGATAGTACAAATCATACCAATATTATGTCATCTTATTTCATATTTGCTCATATTTATGATAATAATTCTAGCTAATAACAAAAAATAACCTACCATTGCAGTACCCTTCCTGTTTGTCATAGGTCCCGTCCGCGGTACACACGACTTCTTGGTTCCCGACTATTGTAAACCCGGAATCACAGATCAGAGTACACGTGGTCGCCCCAGCGTACCCTTGTTGTAGACAACTGGCTGGTTCAAATTTGCCGTGGTTTGGGTTGTTGAGGGACGGGCACGTTATAGCTGTAATGTACAGAACGGCACATTTTGAAATGTGACCGCCATAGAAATCATCCGTGTCTAAAATGAGGCCCGCAAGACTTTGTGACGTCATGCGAGACTAGAAAGCGCGCGGTTTAAAGTGTAAAACAACAAGCGAGAAATATGTAATAAAATAAAGATGAAAATATATAACCTTGTAAACGAAAGTTAAAATAGGCTATAAAAGTATACTCTGTTAAATAAAATGCGTACTAAAGTGATATTCAGTTACAAGTAAATGGGCGTAATTTAAGACAAATGTACTTACGACTGCAGATCAGTTCCTGTCCGGACCAAGTTCCGTCTTGTTTACAAGTTCGTGTCGTATCTCCTTGGCCAACATAACCTGGTTTGCAGTTTGTCTTGCACACGGCCCCCAATGCATTGCCAGCGCCCCCTTTCGAGTTTGTACAGCTCCATGGAAACGCATATGGGACGGGGTTTTGCGTTAAGGCAGGACAAAGCACGGCTGAATATGAATTAAACAATATCATGAGATATTTGCCGTAACTTATTTCGACCAACTCGAATAGGCTTGAAACTCTTTTGTAATTGTCAAGTTGGATTTTTGGGTGTGCTTCTTGAATGAAATTTTGTTGTAAAAAGGATTAATTAAACAATTTCAGTTTTATGCTTTTGCGGTGGAGGAATATGTTTATCATTTAGTATAAGATTTAGAATATAGAATTCATCAAACACTTGAACTGCCTGGTAATACAGGTAGTTAACATATCACATAAACCTTCCAAATTTTAATTGTTTAATCTAAAATAAATAAACCGTTTTAAAGCATATTGTAAATATGTATATATATAAGTTTAAAATTATGTTGTTTTGCAGGTATTGAACAATACAATGACACATAAACGCTGGTCCAAAAAATATTAATTCCTTGTTTTACTACATGTATTATAAAGCACATAGAAAAAAATTCGAAGAAAACATGCTGGTAATTTTCGTTCTTCTTCTTCTTCTTACAGAAAAGTGCTGACCGGGTCAAAATACAAAATTAAAATAACGTTTCAGGACAATACAGATCTTTTGAAGTCTACGTGTTTGTAACGGGATTTTTAAAATGCTGTAAGTGTGACTGCCTCGATGAAATAAACACAATTGCTCAGTCCATGTTCGTCACAACCGGATCCAGGTAATTCAATTCTTATAAAAAAAACCTACCACTCTACCAATTGTACACGTTCATTGTAAAATCTGATCTATATGTACTGGTACTCGTTAAAACAGGGTAAGGGTCTATTCAAATTATCTACAACAAACGCAAGGGGCTCGTAGGACTTACGTCATATAGACCTACGCAGACAGACATTGCTGTGAGTTCGCAAACACGACGATTGTTCTGAGTATGTTCAGAAACAATTTCATGCGCAGCTTGTACCTAAATTATAATACGCTGGAAGCAGGGTGATATAATACGCTCTCAAAGCTGTGCGTTTAGTCGATGCCACATACAATACTGATACGCACGTCTTTAGGCTAGGTGTGACAGAGCCTTTACCTTCACACAAGGGTTCTGTCCCGCTCCATTTCCCGTTGGTCTGACACTTCAGAACGTTAATGTCTCCCTGGCGGAGCTTGTACCCAGGCTCACAGTTGAACGTGCACATGTTGTTCACTTTTTGACCGCAGTAACCCTGGAGGAACGAGTTGGGCTTGGCGACAAGCTTGCGGCACGTGACCTCTGAAATGATGAAGATTACGTATCAGTGAAGACACAGTCGCTATTAATTGTCATCTTATTGAAATTTAAATGTTTTACTCAATTATCAGGACGGAAGAGTGAAAAGATGCAGTCGTGAGGAAAAGGGATGTCATTGTTTCCTTATTGAAAAAAGAATGTTGATTTTAACACGCACACACCCACGCACGCGCGCAGGCGCGCACACACAAACACACACACACATACCTTTACAAGGTGGCGTTCTGTTGATAGGATCCCCATTTTTGAGGTTGGTGTTCACATTTGTATAACCGACTTGGCAGACGCAATCGTTTGGGCTACGCGAACCAATATTCAGGGTGGTAGTGAAGGGGTTGGTGGCGGCGCAGGAACGGCACTTGTCTTCTGTAGATTTACTGTCGCTATAGGTCCCAGCTTCGCATTCTGCAAAACAGAATAAAATAAAGTAACTGATCTGCAAAACGGAATAAAATAAATGCTTTACAAAACAGAATAAAATATTATAGGATAAGGTCTTGATAAAATTATACATTCTTTATTTTACCATCGGTATGTTTGTTTTGGAGTACTGGAGTGAAGTGGAGCTGAATTTGCCAAGTACAGCGGAAGTAGTAAACTTACTCAGACAACGTTCTATGGAGGACTCTCTCTTCAGATGAAAGCCGGCGTTACAGGCACACTTGTATGTCTTTCCACTGACGCTGTCACAGCTACAGAAAGCACCGCTCTGGCATCTGCTACCGCACTTTTGTGTCTGCACCGGCAAGTACTCGAACTTCTGCTGGCCTGGGGTGAACAAATAGACCAGGTTTATGACATCATGTAACCTGTTACTTATGTGTCAGACGATCCGGGACAGAAAGATCAGGAGAGAGAGAGAGAGAGAGAGAGAGAGAGAGAGAGAGGGAGGGAGAGAGGGTGGGAAGGAGGAAGAAGAAAGAAAAGGAAAGGAATGAAAGGAGAAAAGCACATTAGAAAGACAGACTTTACTCAATCATTTTCTAAAAATTGTTTGGTGTTCCATTTTTTGATCTCGTATGCATATATCAAAAGCATGCCGACGAAAAATTCACCTACCTTTGTGAAAATACCGAGCAAGATCTCTGAACTGTGTGAAAGTTCTGATGTCGTAAACCATGGGTTTCCCGTCAGATCCTATACTTGCTAAACTTTTCAGTTTGCCCTTGTCCCATCTGAAAGTAATATTTGGTTGAATATAGAGTTATGTAATTTTTCCTCCTATAATTAGAAAATATTTCGGCTTCGTAATAGGGAGGTGTGACTAATGAGTGAAATTGAAAATCGTTGCATCATTTTAAAAACAAGGGGATTGCTAAAAGCTGTTTTGTGGTGCTTTAGGGTGTACAAATAGTCTCTTCAAAATAAATATTTGCTAGTAAACGCAGAAATTTCTGTCCCACTGGAAAAAAAAAGAGCGGAGAATTTCGCTAAATATGACGATTGCGTTTTAAACCCACAACATTATTACTATAAAGGTTATTATTATTTCCTCATTGTTTATCACTTCACAGAAAATTAATTAATGACATTCCTTTAAAAATTAATTTATTTCATGATTGCTTCCACCCGTCGCCCACATCCTGGATGCAGTAGAGAGGACGCATTAACAATGTAACTTAAATCGTTGAATCAACCCGGATTTCCGCTCTTCGGTAAATGCAGTTTTGACCCCAGACCGAGCACTTGATATCCGCAAAAACTGGCGTGTCAAATCTCCAATATGTGAAAAACATCTCCATAAAACGTGTGGACATTCGTGCTTCACTTGGGGGTTTGTTTTCAATGTCTTAACCAGTACTCCCACCCTCATCCCCAACCCTACCCATGTCAAAGAGTATAAGAATGCTTCTAGATAATTAAGAAATACGAAACAAAAAAAAAATGTTTTTTTTTACCAAACAAAAGCATTGGGAACCTAACTGCAGTCATTGTATTATAATAATAATAATAATAATAATAATAATAATAATAATAATAATAATAATAATAATAATAATCACGGTCATGATCAGCGTAAAAAATGATTCATCAACCGCCGTAACGAAATCGAAAGTGAAATACAGAAGTCTGTTCACTTAAAGCCACCTTTCCTAAGAACTAATGTGGTTACATTAAATTCTGTGTTTTTTCTAACAAAAAATAAACACATGAATGAATATACAACCTTAAATCCTATCATAAATATATACAAATAAATAAATCTATGATTATTTTTGTAAACAACCCGTCTTGTTCTTCTGACGGACAGTAAAAACTAGTGAGGACTGCAACATCAACACGTAGTTACCGTGTAGATGAAATCTTTTCACTATCCCTAAAATTGTCATCACCATTTAAGAAGGGCACGGTTTAATAAAGGACTACTCTATTTCTTATCTGCAAGTATATGTCCGTGTGCAGAGGTCTTTATCGTCACACAATTAAATAAATAAATAAATAAACATAAACATATAAATCAAAAGTGGAAAACATGGAAAAATCTGATTAGGGCTTAAATAACACCATAAAGATATTTTTCAATTAAAAAAAAAAACAAAACCTAAATAAATCAAAACCTACCCTCCGACCCCTATAGCTGCGATCTCCCCACCGTCTGCTTTAATCTGGTCAGCAATACCCTGGGGGTTGCCTCCGTCGTTCCACCAGCCGTCACTAATCAGGAACACCACTTTCAAGGCCCCGCGTCCGGTATTTTTAGCTCTGTCAAAATTCTGCTTCGCCTGACCAAAAGCCTGGTTCATATTCGTCATGCCACCCCGGTAGCCAACTCCGTTAAGGCGAGTCATAAAATCGCACTTATCAAGCCGCATGTCTAAACTCATGTGTGGCTTCGCGTCAGAGCCGAATGTGATCAGCCCCACTTGTGTGTACTGCGGAGCCACACTGAAATGTTCCATAATGTTCCTGACAAATTCTAGTTCGGTTCTGAAATTGCCGCTCCCCACGCTCCCGGACTCGTCCAAGAGAAACATCAAATCTACTACCTCGCGGGCATTTTTAGAGAACGTGTTCATCTGCCCGCTAATAACGTTACCAATAGTTGTCACCCCTTGGGATCGAGTGCCGGTGACCAGTAAACATATTAACGAAAACGATAACGCAGTACCGTGGAATCGCATCTTGCTATATCTATGGGTTCTTCTTACTTCTCTTCGTTTTTAGTTGTCAGCGATTCTTCAGTTAGTTATATTTAAGTTGGTCGCATGTTATATCTCCGCTTTTCTGACGTCTGGATTCTTCCATGTTAGCCTCTACCGGGGAGGAATAGGTCGTACAGAGTTGCACAAAAATTCGCACACCAATCCAATACAGAGAAGCCGGATACGGATTTCATCCTTGAGTGCGCGGAAAACATCGGCCATTTCCGTACCTCTACCTAAACCAGGGCTCCATAACTCGAAAGCATCGCGTATTGCGCATAGCGATATCACATAGAGGCTACAATGTATTATATGGGACGAGTATGGGCGAGTTATGGAATCGAGACGCTTGCGCTCGGTGGCAATGCTCGATACTTTCGAGTTACAGGGCCCAGCGCTATTCTGCCACTTCGTGTGAAACCGTGCATCATCGTCCCGGATATACGGAATCACCCGACGTTGACTTGGCACATTGATGCTATGCATGGCAGTGTTTAAGGTGGACGGCGTCGACCGAGATGAGCCAATCGTTGCCATTCGGCCAATATTAATAATGCTTCATGGCCAACTTGCCTGCACGGTTAAAAAGGTGCAATTAAATACGTATACGTTTTGTTTTGATGTCATGTACATGTAGTATTAGAGATGGAACTTAACAATTGATTTAACGGCTGAGGTATCAGAAGTGAATTGAAATAATCTAGATAAAGCCAAATAAACAACATACCACGAGTTACCATACGGGGTGGGTGGGTGGGTGGGGGAGTGCTCTGAGTGTACATTTTATATTTTAGCAATACACATGTTATGAAATGTTTATTGTAAACAGTGACCCTGCAGTGATTATACAGAATGCATTAAGTTTAACTTGTCCACTCCCGACCACTGTATATCACAAAAAGACCGTGCGTGATAAAGTCAATAAACAGTAAAATATGCGATGTGCCCTTTAACGCTACTATTTTTATTGTGAAGTGTCCTTTATGATGTTAATCGTCGTTACCCAAACCCATAGACTCATATTCCGAAAATAGCCTCTTTATTCATCTTCTTCAGGTGAGGACCGTTCCTGTGGTTTCTTGATTGTTTATCAATTCGCTATCGCCACAATTTCTGATTGGTTGAAGCAGCTTTTGAATTAAAATTCGAACGTTAACGTTAACTTAAATAGTTTAAGCAGCTCAAACGTCATTGAAAATGGATTAAGTAAGGTCGAGCAAACGAGCAATAGTGGGTTAAAGACATAAAGGTGTGCGTATTTGTACTCGTGCTATTTAAACTATTTCATGAACTGGTCGAGTTAGATGGGAATGTTTCTTAAAAAACAAGTAGTCTCTCTCTCTCTCTCTCTCTCTCTCTCTCTCTCTCTCTCTCTC